ATGTGTGTGTATGTGTGTGTATGTGTGTGTATGCATGTGTATGTATGTATGCAGTCATATTATGCGTTAATATTGAATGAACTTAATTGTGAAGCATATTTTGAATATTGATTTGAAAAGTTGAATATTGAGAAGGTATAATATCTCTCATATGGAAATATTCAAGCGATCATGTGACATTGTGACACTCCCTGAGACATCTTCCATTGAGATAATAAGCTTAACAAATGAGTCACCATTATCATCATCCTTAGGAAGGAATCCCTTCAAAAATATGAGAGAGAAAGAGAGGAAAAGATTACTTCTTTTAACTTCTTTTTCCTTCTTTTTCTTTTCTTTTACCTTCTCTCTCTCCTTCATTTCTTCATTTTCTCTCATTATCGATTTAATTTGAAACAAATTTCCAAATAAAATCATTAACAAATGGTTAACGTTACAAAAATACAAATACTTTTTTGAGCCTTTTAAAATTTATGAAGAGAAGCCAAAGAAAATAATAATCTTTCATATTATAGATTGATCATTGACAATTAGGAAATACCATTTTCCTCTTTTCATTTTCCCTTCAGCTAAAAAGTTTGAAAAAATTAATTTCAAATTCAAATTATTTCAATAACTAATTTAATTTAACTTCAATAATTCGAAATAATTAATTACGAACGAAATTTTTTAAAAATGTTCATTATAATAATTGCTCAGTTATTTGTTCAGCTATTAAAACTGCCACAAATAAAGCTAATATAATCTATCACATTTTTCATATTTATTTATTTTTTACCTTATAACTAAACATAAATATCAGAGAGAATGTTATAATAAATCCAAAACAACTAAATATTTATCTCCCACTTTCTCCTTTTTTCCACTGTTTCGTGATATTCCTCCTTAAAGTAAACAAAATCTCATATTAAATTTTTTTCCTATACATTTTTTAAAATAATCAATGGTTGATCTGATTTTACAAAATGTCTCTTTTTTGTCTTTAATTTGTTATTAATTTATTAACTTTTGTCACCAACTTTTCATTAACTTACTGACTTATCCGTCATTGGTTTGCCATTAATTCATCAAACTTTTTGTTGTTTTATAAATTGACATAAATTAACCTTTCGTGAATTTCTCCACTTTTATTTCTTCATTAAATAATTTGTAAGAATGTCAAAAACTTCGTTATAATAAATGTAGATTAATTGCAGTTAATTTGTTCTTATCTTTTTTTTAAAAAAAAATTTTTTTAAACTGAAATGAGCGAACAAATTTAAATTATAAGTATCAATAAGATCCTAATTAATAATCAATCAGCCATTCCTTTATATGCTCATTACTCCAACATCAATTTATTGAACAATTATCCAACCGTTATCAATTTGATTTGTTTATAAATTTTATTAATTATCAAATCAGAGTAAAGTCTTGTAATACTTGAAAATTGGGCAATTTCAAGAAATAATAATACGTAAAGTGATAGCAGAAAAAAACAAATAAAAAAATTTTGAAAAGTAAATTTTCGAACGTAACGGAATGTGTAATAAAGTGTTCTTCGATCCATCCATCGTTGATGGACGGGAAGGCGGGGAACGCGGGGAAGGCGAGGGAAAAAAAAACGAGTGAAAATGACGAAAAAATTCCGTGCATCAATAAACAAAGAAGTATTAAATGAATTGAAAGATGCGGGAAAGCTTGCTTGATGTTTTATTTTAAAAATGTCACTAAAATAATCGACAAAATTTGTCAAAATTTTTGTAAAATCTCTTTTTTCACTTCGCTTTATTTATCTGTAAAATATGAAAAATTTGAAAAATAAAAGATAAGACAGTATTTGATAACAGCAGCATGGATGTCAAAAAATAAAAGAGTAAAAATAATTTTAAATTGTTTTTTTTTGAGAAAATTATTGAACATTAGGCTAATAATATTAATCATTTCATCCTGTGCACTGTTACCGCTACTTTTATAGTCGTGAAATTTTCTAGAAAGTAATCAGTCTTTTTTTCGGTAACGAAATTTGAGAAAAA